ATTTGGCAGAATGTCTATATCAGAATTTAAAATGGATACACTTCTAGGAATTAATCCCAACAAGTAAGAGGCATTTTGGTTCATCCATACAAGGGAAGACAATACAGACCTTGTAAAGAATGAGGCAGCTCTTTGTCAATGATGGGGAAGGATCACATATATATTTTTTTAACCAAAATATATTTTTAAGTGAACAGATAGGTAGAGAACAGTATAAGGTATGTTATCCTTGTCTCAAAAGGAAAGGAGAATATATATTTTCTCTATATACCAATAAGGATTCTTTGCTTGTGTCATCTACCTCTGGGAGGAACAGAAACCAGAAACACTATTTGCCTCTGGGGAAGAGAACTGGGTGAGTGGAGGACAACTGGGGAGTATATTTACTTCTCATTTTATACTCTATGTATACCGTGTGCACATATTGCCTATTAAAAAATTGAAACAAACAAGGGGAGGGAAAGTGAGGAGACCAGTCAGGAAGCTGTGACAATAGTCCAGGGAAGAGACACTGAGCTAAGATGGTGGTAGGAAGGTGGAGAAAAGTAGACAGTTCAAAATCTTTTTTTCTTTTTTTTGAGAGAAAATCCACAGGATTGCTAATAAGGTCAGTGTGGGAGATGAGGGAAAGCGAAGACTCAAGGATGAGTCCCAGGCTTTTGTTAAGCAACAGGATGAGCGGAAGAGTTGGTTATCTAAATTGGTGTTGTGTGGGCTCTTGAGCTTGACGACCTAGGCTTGAATTCAACCTATTCTACTCACTAACTCTATGACCTTGGGCAAATCATGTAAGTGCTTTATACTTAGGAGGTCTCATCTGTAAAATGAGGATGCTGATATGACCTACCTACAGGGTTGATGTAAGGATTAAATTAGTTAATACGTGTCCACTTTAGAACAGCTCCTGGCATATGGTAAAAGCTATACAAATGGTTGCCACTATTGTTGTTATTGTTATTACCGCAACTGTGACTGCTGCTGTGACTATAACAACTAATGCTTCTCTTTCTCCTCTGTCAGGGAGATGCCTGACCCCTATTAGGGGTTCAGTAAATATTTATGGAAGGATAGAATGCTTTAAAATTAATGCATGCTTAATAACCAGTTGATCTATGAAATGAAACTTTTGAAAGTTCCTTTTAGAATTTAAAGAAATGAGATAGTGTGGTTGATAGGTTATGAGATTTGTTCATAACTTTTTCTTTAACTTCCATTTTCTGTGCAGACCTGAAGGCATTGAACGACAGTACAGGAAGAAATGTGCAAAGTAAGTGTTAACAGTGTGGGTTCCTCTGAGTAAGCAAGTAGAGGCAATAATGTGTTAGGAACAGAATTATTTGGGTACAGTTCTCTATTGTATCTTTGGCCTTATAATCTCAGCTGCCTTCAAACTTCAACTACCCAAATAACAATATGCTTCTCGAAAAGACTAATCGAAGTTACATCTCTAATCAGCTGGCCACAAAAATGGGTATTTTTTAACATAATTTTTTAAATTAATAAAATTAATAAAATTTCCCCAAATTTTGACCAAAGCATACAGTCATGTCACACCACCACGACCATGATATAGCACATTCCCAGTACCCCATGTGCCCTTTGCAGTCAGTCCCCTTCCTGACTCCTCTCCCCTGGCAATCACAGATCTGCCTTCTATTACGATCGTTTCACCTTTTCTAAAATTTCCTGTAAGTTCTACAATATGTGTTCTACTACATAGAATATGCATCTGTTACGTCTGGTTTCTTCCACTTAGCGTAAAGTTTTTTGGGATGCATCCGAGTCGTTATGTACATCAGTAATTTGTTCCCCTTTATTACTGAGTAGTATTCCATTGCACCACAGTTTGTTTCACCATTCACTCATTGAAGGGCATTTGACTTGTTAATGGTTTTGGCTATTACAAATAAAGTTTCTGTGAACATTCTAGTATAAATCTTGGTGGGAACATTTGTTTTCTCTTGGAGTGAAATTGCTGGGTCATATGGTAAATGCGACAGTGTAATTAGTGTAATTTAATCCAGGCCTATTTTAGGATCACAAACCCCGGAATTTTATTTAATGCTGAATTATATTCAGCATTAAACATATATATTTCCAGCTTTAGGTTAATAGAATATTAAACTATAGTAAGTTTAATCTCATTGATGTAACTACAGTTACATACTGGCTCTCAGAAGACTCAGACGAGGAGAATTAAAGCACGGAAATGGCTAAGAAGGCATTTTAGTTCACAGCCTCACTGGATTCATTAAATTGGTTTTATCAGATCTTATGAGTCTCTTTCATTTAGCTGGAAAAGTAATAAAAATGACCAGCCAAAGAAAGTAAGGCAATTACTACAGTAATTCGTGTGCCAACTGTTGCATTTGAGCCTTTATACTCCCTCTTGACACTGCAAAAACAAAACAAAAATAGGCAAACTCTGCAGATAGTTACCCAGGCACCTGAGAAGAAGGGTAACAGTTTTGATTGGAAAGAAACTAGTAGCAGGAGCCAATGTTTACCAAACTTGTCTGATGACAGAGTCCCAGGCCGCACCCCCCAGATTTGCTGAACCAGATCTTCTGGGGGAGGGGCCTAGACATTTGATCAGCAATTTTAACAAGTACCTTCAGTGATTTTTACTGAGTAGTATTGGGAAACACTGGGAAGAGCTCATCATTAGTTTATGCCACACACAGAAAAAAAAAAATATTTCCGGAGTCTGAGCACACTTTGCAAATCACTGTTTTGGGGATCTGGATTCTGAGGCCTCCCAGAGATTCACTCTGCTGTTCCCAGGTGTGGACTTCCACTCTTCTACCAGTCCCAGCCGAAGAATGCTCCTGTGACCTTCATTGTGGATGGAGCGGTAGTCAAGTTTGGCCAGGGTTTTGGGAAAACGAATATATATACTCAGAAGCAAGAGCCTCCTAAAAAGGTAATTATCATTGAAGGAGACAGACTGGTTAAATATAGCTATGGGTTTAGCCCTAAATTTTAAAATAAGATGATAGTACATGAGAAAGTGCCCTTCATGGGGATAGTACAGTTATGTAGGTGTAACATATTATATAGATGTAACATCTATGTAACATCCGTGTTACATAGTGTAACATCTACTAATGTGTTCTTTTTTTTCTTTCCTACAGCTGTCCTGTGAGTAAAGTTAGAAATTGTATGGTTCTTATTTACATCTGTTTCCTTCCAAATTTCTTTTTCCAGTGTGAATAGTTAAAAATGGAATCAATCAGGCTAATTTTTAAATATACTTTAAAAACTCCTGATAGCAAATGTTAGAAAAATATAATGCAAATAAAAACATTGGTATTTTTACTAGAGTAGAGCATAGGGAATATAGTCAATATTATTGTAATGACTGTGTGTAGAGCCAGTTGGGTGATAGAGTAATCGGGGTGATCACTTCATAAATTGCATAAATGTCTAACCAGTATACTGTATACCTGAAACTAATATAAAATAATAATAATAACAACAACAACAACAACAACAACAACAACAACAACAATAAAGCAGATCTCATGTGCTGATAAAAAAAAAAAACCACATTGGCACTTTTAGATAGGCCAGCCTGTCTCAAAGAGGTAGGTGTCGTCACCCCCCAGCAACTGCCTTCCCCAGCTCCCAGGCATGCACGCGCACACACACAGACACATAGCTCACAGAGCCTCTTGCTGTGATTTATACTGATTCTTCTTCTGAAACTCCAGGTGATGATGACCAAACGGACTAAAGACATGGGCAAGTTTAGCTCTGTCACTGTGTCTACTATCGATGAAGAGGAGGAGGAGATTGAGGCTGTAAGTGCTTCTGCTCTCAAGGGAATTGAACTGGGGGTGGTGAAGGGAAAGGGGCTCTAGAACTAGAGCATCCCAGTAGCAGAATAATTAGAGACTTTGCTCGTAGACCTTGCTCTGCCAGTAAGACACTATGATACTGGCTAGTTCCTATGTCCCTGGATTCAGAGCCATCTGTAAAATGTGAACCAGGGAATTGACTTTGATCGGTGATTTTTTTTCATACTGTCTTTTTGAGATGACTTAGGGGGTTAATCCCTTTTCCCTCTTCAGTTTAGATACTGTTGGGCTCAATGATTTCAGGTCCCTTCCAGTCCAGCTCTAATGGTTTAAGAGTCTGCCCTTAGCAGTAGCAGCAATTACATGGTAATTCCGTATAATGTTGTTTACAGAGAGAGATGTTATCTGTTATTTTTTAAATGGTTTTGGTTGAAACCTGAACTCTTCTGGATTACAGAAAAGCTGAAGAGTTGAAAGGGAGCAGAGTCCTGCCATTTCAGTAATGATTTCATAATTCGAGTGGTATATAAATTGCTGCTTCAGGTCTCTGTTGTTACTCATTGGTGGGACTGCTGGCTTAAGGATACTTATTTTTTTCCCTCAGAGGGAAGTTGCTGACTCGTATGCGCAAAATGCCAAAGTGATTGAAAAACAGCTGGAGCGCAAAGGCATGAGCAAAAGGCGGCTGCAAGAGCTGGTGAGTGGCTTGGGGTGCTGGGCTTGACTATTTGAATCTTTTGGTCTGGAAGACCTTCCAGCAGTCAGGGAAATCCTTTAGGAAGTCTTTCGGGGGTTACTGGTTTGGTTGGCTGCCAGATTTCTAACCCTGGGCTGTGACTGTCAGTATACCCTGTTCTGGAGTAGTGACCACAGGATCCAGGCCCTAAATGGTAGTATTTGTTAGCTGGACCTACTAGAATGATATTTTAATCAGCTACTTGTGGTTCAAGGTCAGGAGTTCAAAGTCAGGGTTCATGGAACTCTCCCAGGATGTGATGGCATACAGTATTGCTACATTGGTGCAACCAGGATTGGGGCTGGTCACTGCTTCTTAAAGTGCCAGTACCACCACCAGTTTCTGCATTATTCATGAGCTCATCATACAGCATGCACACCTATATATGATGGTGTCTACATTTTTGTTTTCTTGATAATAATTGACTTACACTATTTCGTTTAAGTCAGACATCATTGTACTGTTGCCTCATCAAAAGGTATACCAGTCTATCATAGTGACTGTAGAGGTCACTATGTCACACATCTTTGGTGACAGAGGTGGTGGGGCTTGAGAGCTCCTTACCTTACCATAGTGGTTTAGAGCAGTGCTTATCACATTTTCTGAGGGCCAGTGCTTTCTTTCTTTCTTTGTTTTTTTTTAATTTCCAATTTGTCAAGAACAGATTTATAATTTATAAAATGCAATAAAAATGAATTTACCTCAATTCTTATTATTTTATTGTTTTATTACTCTATTAAATGACTGTAAAGGTTTCTAAATGCTTACTCTTAATTTGTGTACGTGTCTTGCATGAACTGATAACAAACAATTCATGGACCACACAACTTCAAGTAGCACTGTTCTAGAACAGTACTTTTCTTCCTGTTGTGCCAAAAGCAAGATACTGATGTGCCACGATATTGATTTTCTTGGCCCTTCAGGGGTCCTGGGGCTGTGGGACCCCTGCACTGATTGCCTCATGTTTTTATGCCACTTCGCCGTATAATGTTACCATTCTCTATGTGTGTCATAACATCAGAAAAGTTGGAAAGCAGTTGCTAGAGTTTCATAATGACTTTAGAACCAGTATTCTAGTTTGTATACTAAATGAGCATGGATGGATTGTGTTTGGGCAGTTAGAATAAGGAAGGAAAGAATTTCATGTCATGTATCAGGACATATACTTTTCTTCCTCCCCAGGCTGAGTTGGAAGCCAAGAAAGCGAAAATGAAGGGGACCTTGATTGACAACCAGTTCAAATGATCAGGACCATTCTCTGAACCCAGGCGAAGGCAAGCATTTAGACCAGGAGGCAAAAGAACTTTTTCTTGACTGCATGGACTGGCTCCTACCTTTATGCTCCGACATGAGGTTTTATGTTACCTCCTACATTCAGTGAGGTCTTTGAGTCCATCTAATCTGCTTTCTAGAGATGGATTTTTCTAAATCTTTCTGAATATGGGTCTTCTATACTATTTTTGTCCACTTGATATAAACTTCTTCAGCTATGTAGAAACACTATGAATAGATCAGTGCTGGAATATCTCTAGCTTCTAAAGTAGCTGTTTTTATTCCTTCTTCAAAGTTAGTACAATGTGTAAAGATTTTTGAAAAAAAATATTGTGATGCATCGTAGAAAAAGGTAGCATGGATTATATTTAAAGTTACAGCAGGTTAGATGCTTTTAAGTAACTGTCTTTCTTCTTAGACTGGCAGGTATCGGCTATGTTTTGACTCTCTATTGTCAGAGAAAAATCCATAAAAAGGCAGAATCTGCATAAAGCCTCCTTTGCTTCAGATATGAGAGCTATAGGTGAGCCATCCTTTATCAGACTTTGCACTTAAAGTAGAAAAGATGGATTGAAGTAAGGGGATAGGATAGCTGAGATGTGAATGAAAATGGAGCCTCAGTGAGCAACATAAAACAGCTACCATCCTGTCAAGCAGCTAAGAATACTGCTTCCATGTGTATGTGCATGGAAGAAAGATATTATAGAGTAAGAAATGATGCTGAGATATATAAAAGCATCTGTTGAGTATCTTTTATTTCACGTTTGCTATTTGTGGAAGAGTCTTTTATATAAGTATTTAATGTCATGCCGCTTCAGTGATAGCCATATGTAGTGTTTGAATTCATGTTTAATCTGTTCACCTATATTACAAGGTATTGGGGCAGGAAGAGTGTTTTAACCTCCTTATATTATCTATAGTGGATTGCACTTAGTAGGTGCCCAAGATATGTATGTGAGATGCTGTTGGTAAATCCTAGGGCATTTTTCTTTACTTTTTTTCTGATTTTCTTATTTGGAAGGAAGAGTAGGTTAGAGTGGGAGTAGATGTGAACTAGCAAGAACTGGGAGAAAGGGGTGGAGGTCCTGGGAAAGCCCAGAGTGGTACCATCCATCTTCCCAGTCATTCACCTGCATTCAGTGAGGTCTTTGCAACTGAGTCTTATTCTCCACCTCATTTTCTGTTAGGCATCATGTGGATAAACAACCATAACCACCACACAATTCCTTGACCTCAACTCCAAACAATGACCTTTACCTTTACCTTCATGCCACTTTAGCTACAAACTGCCTTGTCCAAGGCTGGTTGTCATCTACACCACCTCTGAAATCCAATATTCCGTTCTCTGCCCACAGCCTCTTATTATTGCTACTCTCATACTCTCACTTCCACTAAACCTGTTTGGTTTTGTTTTTAGATTTGAAGGGTGATTATTTTATTGTAGTAATAATCAAAAGAGTTCAAGTTTCCCAAATCCCATAGCCAATAAGTGATAAAGCCAGAAATCTGACTATACAACTATGCTGAGCTACTACTCCTGTGGGATTTTTAAAAATATATATATTATTGAGAACAGATTGCAATTTCATTTTGAGACACCAAGTAAAGTGCAATGTAGAGACAATTGCATATGGCCACAGCTGATGAAGTGGTGGTCTTCTTTGGACAGCACTGCCCCATCACAGGGGGAAGGAAGGCACCCTCTTTGTTGTCTGCCCAGGATGGTAGGCCAACAGGGGATGCTTTTGTCCTTTTTTGCTTGTGAGGAGTATGCACAGAATGCATTGAGGACACATAAAGACTTGTTGGGTAAAAGATACATTGAAATCCTGGGGAGCACAGCAGCTGAAGT